TCAGTTACTAATTTTTTAAACATAAGTTTAAAACTAAGTATGAAAAAGCCAATTTTTGATTAAGAAGTATAATTTAATTTAATATTAATATTAGTTTAATAAAAAAATTTACATAATATTTTAAATTTATACAAAACTTAATAAAAGATAAAAAAACATTTAAAAAGATTTGGGTGTATTTTATTAAATAATTAGTATGTTTGTCTTTTCCTTGATAAACAATTATCACATCCTGTCCAGTAAGTGGTATGTGTTATCATGTTCCTTACACGGTTCAAGGACTGTTCATGTGATAAATGTTTTAAAAAGTAGTTTGTTATAACCATGGTTTTTTTAAAGAGATTTTCTTTAAATATTTTAAAAGAGGGAATTGACCAATTATTAAATGATTGGTTTTTAAATAAATTCGTAGTGACACAAGATATCACAATAGCTAAAACTCTTTTATAAAAACTTAAAATGTATGGTTTACTCATTTCAAGTGTAATAAAATTCTACATTTTAACAATTTCTTCTTTAAGACTTTTTTGTTAAGCTTGCCTTTTCTTCTTAAACACATCTTCGTGTATACCTAAATATGTTTAATAAGGTTCATAATAGGATTTTATTATAGCCAAGGTAATTTATCAATATTCTTTATATCCGATCAATTATTTACTATATTAAAAGCGTGTTTGTTTGTGATCATTATCTTGTTATACGATAAATTTATCAAGTTCAGTGTCATAGAAAAATTGTCTAAAATTTCAGGCTTAAATTTGTTTATAAGCTGCCCGGTTAAAGTGTTATCAATAAAAAAGAGTACTCCTTTGATTGAAACCAAAAACGACTACTTAAGTTTATTCAAATTTTCGTGCTTCTGTCCACAATTGGGACTTGTTATATTATTTTGTAATATGTCTGATAAAAATATAAACAAACATCTTAATATTACATAAAATTTAAAATAAAAAAACCTCTACTTTATAAAGCATATTTTCTTTATTCTTTGATAAAAATATTTAAATGAGAGTGTCTTATGTTTAAAATATTATAACGTTATAAAAATAAATCTGTTTTCTTTATTTAAATTTTAAAACCAATTGTAAAAAATAAATTAAAATTTGGTTTATTTATCAGTCTCCTCAACAGTCTTTTCATTATATTGATTAACTAATAAATTATAAAAGTTACACAATGATTTCAAAAATTATTAATAAATCAGCCTCCTTATACAATGGTAGAAAATAAAAATGAAACCAACTTAAAGTTTTGTTTTAAAAAGTATTATAATAAAATTTCATTTAAATTGTTTTTCATTTATGATAAAACATTAAATAAAAAAATTTATATAAATTATGCTTTTAAACAAAATATGTTGTAAAAAATTTTAAAAAGAGGAAAAATAAATGAGACTTTTTAAAAATTTTTTATTTCCCTCTTAAAATAATTTTATTAATTTTTTTATTATCTCATTAATGGCAAAATATGTTATTAAGGAAGATAAAATAAAAATAATTATATTGAAAAAAGTAGAAGTAAAGAATTTTAAATTATAAATAAATTTAAAATAAGTAATGCAGGGTTTTTTAGAATAATTAAAAGGTATAAATTAATGAAAAATATTAATAGAAAGAAAAGATCCGGTCGGCCAAAGATTTTTAATGAATCAGAAAATAATATTATTAAGAGCAAAGTAAATAAAAATTTAAAATTAAGTTCAAGAAAATTAGCTAAAGAGTTTAATGTACTATTAAATAAAGCAGTTACATTAAGAACATACAGAAACATTTCAAATGATAACAAATTGATTATTTATAAACTGTAAAAAACCCTCTTTTTAGCATAAAAAGTGTTTAATCAAGATTAATGTTGTTATTAAAGAGCATTTATGGGATACTGTAGATTATTGGAAAAGAATTTTATGGTCAGATGAAATCAAAATCAAAACAAACTTATTCGGTTTAGATGAAATAGTTTATATTAGAAGACTAAGAGGTATGAGATTTAATGAAAAATATTTAAATCCTAACATTAAATAATAAGGAAAGAGTTTAATGTTACGGGATTGCTTCTAATACAAAGGTGTTGGTAAAATAGAGATGATTAAGTTTAAAATGACAACCATGTCATATACTCAATTTTTAAACAAAAATTTGTTCATCTATAAAAAATTGAACATGGGTGACGATTTTATCTTTCAACATGATAATTATCTAAAGCATAAAACTGCTCAAACAACGATTTTTTGAAATAAAAATAGAACCTTTAAAATTGCCTACCTAAAGTCCGGATATAAATCCAAAATGAAATTTATTGTAATTTTTAAAAATAAAGGTTAATAAAAGAAGATTAAAAAACATAAACAAATTGAAAAATGCTATAGTAAAATGTTATAAATTACCAAAAGAACTATGTAAATAACTTGTTTCTTCATTTCTAAAAAAAGTCATATAAATTTTTATATTTAAAGAAAGAAATAAAGTGTATTAAAATTAGTTGTCTCGTTTATTTTTTCAACTTTATATATTTTTTAAAACATATAATGTTTATAAGCATAATTATATATAAAATCTTTTTTATTTAACATTATATCAAGAATGAGAAAATAATTTTAAAAAAATGTTTTTAAAATACTTTTTAAAACAAAACTTTAAGTTAATCTCATTTTTATTTTTCATTAAAGTATCTATAACAGAAATAAAAAAAGAGATGATTTTATAATAATTCTATAAAAGCTCAGCTTCTGTTTCATATAATAGCTAATTTAGTTTCTCCAATACACTCTCAATTAGTATGTGTGACATTGGTTCTTCAAATCAATAAAAAACTTCGAATCGTTCACTGTAAAGTGTTCCTTGAGGTCTTCATTGACCCTACCATAACCCCTCTAGCAATCCGTATGAATATGAATACTAAAGTGGGAATGTATATATTCTTTTAAAACAAAGATAAGTGTTTTTGCATCTCTCTTGTTTACAACCTGTATGTAAACATCATGTGTTTTACTAACAATAAACTGAATACCAAAAACTAAAACTCTATCATAGAATTATTTTTTTGTTGAGATTTGAGTTTAAACTTTAGAAGTCTTTCAACATTATTCTTTCAATGACCACCAAATAATGATTCATTTGCTCGAATTATATGTCTCACCACCGTTTGTTTAGATGTAATAACCCAATGAGTTACTTCTCTAATATAATTGGTCCAGTTGACAATTAGCTCGTTTCTTGTTATTCCTAACTCCGGTTTCATCCCATGACGAGGCTGACTTTTAAAATAACAAAAGATGATTTTAGCTATTTTTTGAATTGATATTACAACTCTGTTTTTACTCCTCTTTTTTTTATAAAAAGGAAATGTTTTTAAAGAGAGTTGGCTCTTTATTGCAAAATCTGTAATAGAAAAGGAAGTTATTATAATACTTCTTTCTTCTCGTTTTTAGATGCTAATATACCCACTCCATCATAAAAGCTAAAAAAAACCTCTTCATTGTATAAAATTTTATATTAAATCTTCAAAATCCAACGATTTAAGAATATATAATTTTTGTAAAAATTTTCAAGTTATACATTGATTTAATATTAATTTATAAGAATATTTAATCCTTTATTATTAATAAAAATTTATTGACCATGTATAAATAAATAATTAATTAATTCTAAAACCTTCACTTAGATAAAATTTTCAATTTATTTTCAAAAAAAATTATAGAACCAATCAATCAAAGGAATACCTAAACAAGACTTTCAATCTCTTGATTTGATATTTGTCCCCATATCATAACACACCTGCTATACTTTAATATGTTAATATTGTTTTTCATACCAAACCTTCATGTAGGGTAATATTTAACATATTAAGCACCATCTTTATATAATAAAATAAAGTTTGTTTAGTAATTTAAAATAATTATATATTTTTTATTTTTATACCTATAAATTTTTTAAAAATTTCAAATATTTTTACTATATTAATAA